CTTCTATAATTTTAATTTACGAAAAAAAATTTAAAATTGCGAATTTTCAATCAAAAAGGTAATTTTTTACGCATTTTCTTATGGAGAATTAGCATGTTTTGACAGGCATTTTCGAGCACTTCTAGACGTGCCAGGGAGATGAAATTTGGCACGCACGTGGGTCTTGGGCCCACCCGCTCGGTAAAATTCCGAATAGTCGCATTTTCCTCTTTCAACCCCCTCTAAATTAACAATTCCCTCCCCATGTTATTCTTTTGGGAAATAACATTGAAAAATACCGACATTCGGACGCTCATCTGAACCGTTAAGAAACGTGCTAGAGACTTGAAATTTTGTAGTTTTGTAGTAAGGGATCTTACATTACCGGTGAAATTAGTAAAAGTCCCATTTTCAAGATTCAACCCCACCAAAAAAATCTATTAAAAACCCCTATTTTTGGAAAACACGTTTTTTTTAACAGCTGTAGCTCGAAATCGGTAAGATCCAGACGCGATTTGAGGAAAAATCGTAGGTTCGCAATGAAATTTTCTACAAGACGGTTTTGTCCGAGAAGGCGTCATATCGAAATTTGCACTCCTTCACCTTCAAAAAACGCTCTAACTCCAAAAATTGTAAAAATCCTCTATTTGTTTACGTTTTTTTAATTTTTAAAACGACTTTTCGCACATATTTCCTGTCTTTTCAAGTTACCACTCAATTTGTTTTTCACAGGTACGTGTTCATACAATATTAATTATTGGTAGTAGCTTAAATAATGAAACTTGACGTAGATAAATATGGTTAGGCCTACCTAGCCGCCATACCAGTGCTTCGCAACGGGAAGAGAGCGCTAAAGAAAATAGTTAGTATGTTGCATAGAGCTGCTGTATGAAAAGTTAAATAACTCATAAATAAAAATGTTGACAATTTTGAAAAGTACCAAATAAATAGTTGTCATAAAGGTGGTTAATCTGTTTCTTATGTTACACAGATGTGCTGTATGAAAATTTAAATAACTCATAAATAAAAATCTTTTACAGTTTTGATAAAGCGCCAAACAAATAATTGCCAAAAACGTGGTAAGTTTGTTGTTATAGGTACGTATACATACAATATTGATTATTGGTAATGAAAACAGCAATGAAAATTGACGATTATAAATATAATTAACTAGCTGCCTTACCAGTGCACCGCAACGGGACGAGAACCCTAAATAAAATGGTTAGTACGTTCCATACATGTGTTGTATGAAAAGTTAAATAATTCATATATATATATATATATATATATATATAATGTTCAAAATCTTGGTAAAACACCAAACAAGTAATTCTCATAAACATGGTGAATATCAGTTTGGCAATTCTAATATCAAGCGTATTCATGAAAAATAGAGTAGAAACGTATAACAATATGTCATAAAGCCAGTGTTTTTTCTCTCTCTTTTCAGCTCAATTTCTCGAGTAATTTTGGCGTTATTGACATATTCCAAACTTTCGCATCCATAATATTACGCTTTCTATCTAAGTCATTGACTTGGTAGGTAATTCACAAAAAATAACTTGCCTACTCCGCTTGCCAGACATTGTTTTGGAGAAAACAAACATACAAACACGATACATTTTTCAATAAAAGGTGATGAATTATGCAAAGAATATAAATGTCCTATTCGCAAAATATCACAAATTATTTTTTTCAATTAAAAACATTAGCATAACAGTAAACAATCCTACTTAAACAGTTCTCATCTTGTATTACAGCTTTTTGGTGTAGTTCAAATTATCCGTCGTCATAAATATAAAACACTCTATTAATAGTGTTGCACCCTGTTGGTAAATGTAGTAACTTTCAGTGTTATTTTTGCTGTTATTTTAGTAGCCGGGTCGCAAAAGCCTACCAAACTCATCGAATCTTAAGTTAGCAAGAGGTGCAAATATTAAAAGGCAATTAAAATAAAAGGTAAACATTTTGCCAATATCATCAGGCCATTCGAACTGAACCAAGCGTGGAACAACGGTTAAAAGCTTTTTAGATATTACTATACGATGCTTAGTATAGAACCCTTCATATTAGTTGCAGTATCCAAAGTCAATAACGCAAGAACGGTAAGAAGCAGTGATATAGTAAAAACAAAACAACTAGAACTTGCCTAAGGACTGATTTACACACATGTTCAATGTTTTGTTTTTTTTTTTTTTATTAAAAACCAAAATAACAATACAACTCATTCCAATTGCAAAACTGTTATAATTTTCCTAGTGTTCCTAGTAATCTAAAACGTCCGCCAATTAAACGATCCTTAAAGCTTAGTTTTCAGACCAGTAAACAGAGCATAGGTTAACACAAATTTGGCGATATAAATTATTTTTACAAAATGGGAAAAATTGCAAATATATCGCTAACAAGCCGTTTTAAGAGAAAAACGTATTAATGATTTTAGTTTTATTTTGTCTCATAAAATCCATTCCAATATATTTTGTACTAATTTACAGTACACCCCGAATTAGTCTACGTCACACTATCCCCACCATCTTGGAGGGCAGTGGAGGGGGCAACTTTCACTTCTCAGCGACGGACGCCGTCCACCTTGTCCTGCTCATTCGTTGTCCAGACACGCTTGCGTTCAGTACACGTGATTCTGTTCTTCGTCCCTTGTTGTATTTCAAATACACTTCTGCTTAATTATAGGCATCCACTGTTGAATTATAGCTGTTAATGTTCTTCTGTGGCTTTCAATAGTTTGATTTTGTGGTTTTTACTGTTTTTTTTCATATCTCGTTTTGTAGTTAAGGAATCATAGTTGACTGGCCGCTTAAATATTGGCTAACTGTGATCCCGTCAGCTGTTAGCTATAGGGATAGGTAGGGAAAATCTGTTTCTCTGCTTGTGACTTTCGTCTTTTATTTGTCAGCTAATATTTGATTTGCTGGCAATTCTCGTCTGTCATCCTGTTTCAAGTTAGGTTAGGTTTCTTAGAAAATAAGTGGTTTTAAAGTTGTGGTTATTGTTATTCTTCTGTGGCTTTCAATAGGTTTAATTTGTGGGTTTTACTTATAAAAAACCACAGTATTTTTGCTGTTTCTTTTCGTATTTTAGTTTTGTTGTTGAGGAATCATAGTTGACGGGCTGTTTTGATATTGGTTTACTGTGATCCCGTCAGCTGTTCGATATATTAGTAGGCAGGGAAATTTTGTTTTCGTTATTCCTGTTTACTTTCTCTACTGGCGACAGTCGTGTTTTCTTTGTCTGTAATTAATTGATTTACTGACGATATTAAAATATCCTCGTCAGTGATCGTTTTTTGTGTTAGGTTTTTTTTAGAAATAAGTGGTTTTAAAGTTGTGGTTATTGTTATTGTTATTGTAAATCTGATTTATTTTAGATTTACTATTGATCTGTTCCACGCATTTTCTTTTTTTACAAATCTGCTGACGTGCTTTGTTAGTTGTTGAGCGTGGTATTTCTCATTATTGTATTCGAAATTCAGTTTTTAAAAAGGCATTGAAATGGCCGTTACCTGCGTTGCCACTGGGTCATTCCACCAAGGTGATACAAAACGTTTTGGTTATAGCAGAAATGCACAATGTGTGGCAAACTCAGCCTGTGCCATCGCATGGAAGTGTCTTGGGAATGAATTTACTACTTCCACCATCGACTCAATTCTCATGAGCGGTGACAATTTGTATAGGTCATTGCGCAATGCAGACTGTGTTGGGGGTGATCGGTTTTTATTCCCAGACGAACTACCGAATGAGTTCGTCGTTGTTGGCAATCAAGTCCATGTTGAGGCCATTGATTATGTATACGACGCTTTGTATCCTCAGACCCGTGACTCATTAAATGACTGCATTGTAGAATTGGCTTGTGAATTAGAGCTGTTGTTAGTACAGTCTTCGGAGAATGTAGGATTTTTGTTCACCGGCTTGAACGTGACTGTAGGTTTTTGGTCCTGTCAAAATCAGCTGTATGTGTTTGATTCACATGCAGTGAACGAAGAACGTCAGTACGACGGTGTTAATCACCACAATAACCTGGCTAGACTGTTCAAATGTGATGGTTACATTTCTTTAGCTAATTTGTTGTTGTGTAATGCTGCATATGACACCAATGCCCATCAATACTCAATTGCAGCATTGAAATTTCGTACTCATGTTGTAGCTGACTTTGAAACAGGGCCTCGATTCTCTCCATACATTTCCAATACTCTTAATATTATCTCTTCCCCACCGTGTACCAGTCCCGATTTCCCTAATGAACCGTCAGACGAGCCCATTCCACAGTGCCTCAGTCCCGATTTCCTCAATGATCCGAAATTAAATCAAGATCCTATTGTACTGCTTTCACCACTAAGAAAAATAAAATCCCTCCCTGACTTGAAGAAACCCTCTAAAGCACCTGGGCGACCAAAAAAGATTAAACGTGGACGTCCTTAACTCTTACCTACGTCTAGGGATGAGCAAATAGCGGCTGCAAAGAAAAAATACAACGATAATACCCCCCAGAAAAATAAAGACAATCAACGGCGACATCGCGAAACTCATCCTGACGACCATAGGGAGGCAGTTAGGAAGGATAGTCAAAAAAACCCTGAAGCAAGCCGTGAAAGAGTTAAAATTTTCCGGCTTAAAAACCCCAAGCTAATCGAGCTTAGGCATTTAAATATAACCCTGGCAAGAAATATTTTCAATCACGGCCCAATGGGAAGTTGGTCGGGGGATTTATTAAATCATATATCATTATATAAATTGAAAAACACAAGTTTGTGGAGTGAAGGGATTTTTAAGTGCCCTCACTGTAGCGCTCGACTTTTTGACGAAGAGAGAGAACGGAGTAAATGGTGTTGTGGGCAAGGTGCCTATAATGTCCTTAACTTACCTGCTCTTGAGGAAGATTTCTATTCGAATCGTCTCTTCCTCCAAAGGGCTCGGGCTTATAATGATATGTTTGCCTTCTGCGCCCTAGAAGTGCCAGGTGGATACCGTCATCCAAGTGGTATTTCCTTTTTTAAAATAGAAGGGAGAATGTACCATCATGTGTACAATCTGGACGCCCCTGGCCAGAAGTTCACTACTAAGGCTGGAGACGTCCAGTTCGTAAACAGATCCCGATTGTACATCGATGATGGTGAAGAGCGGCTGAATATTGCCTCCGGAAGATCTCTAGACGCTGATTTAATTAGTTCTATCTCCGAATTTCTCAATCATAATAATCCATACGTTATCCATTATCGCCGTCTGGGTAGCGAGCCAGCCGTCAACGCTCGTTTGGACTTTGAAATTACGAATAGAGCCACGCACGGCCCAGCATTAGGTGACAGACAGGCGGGCGTTGAGGTTCATGCAGTACTCAGCACCGACGAGACCGTTTATGAGCCGCGAAAATTGTCAATATGGAAAGTAGGGTCTGCTAGGCCTAGTTCTATTAATCTCTTTAGCCCCCTTATGGAACCTTTCCAGTATCCATTGCTTTATCCGGATGGCACTTTGGGATGGCATATAGGTCGTCTCGATAACTTTCATCACAAGCTGTCTCAGTACAACTACTCACGTTGTCTTTTGTTGTCGGATCCACGCTTTTCTCACTTAGGCCGACTGTCTCAAGCCTGGCAGGTGGAGATGTATGCCAGGTACGAGGAGGAGAAATTAAACTTTATTAAATTCAAACAAACCCGGTCCAATGAAAATGCCATGCGGACAGGGCCATTGGACGAACTGGAGACAGCTTTGCGTGTTGATAGTCACACTTCAGGGCAGGTTTTGAGAGATATTGTCAACGATGAAACGATTCAAGGGGAGGGCGGGATCCAGCCGGGAAAAGTTTATCTTCCCAGTTCCTTTACGGGGGGTCCGAGATACATGAAGCTTCGTTACGAGAACGCGATGGCTCTTGTCTCTCGTCTTGGTTTCCCTACTTTCTTCCTCACGTTTACGTACAGCGCTACGTGGGAGGAAAACCAGAAGGCTTGTCCCCGAAACAGTGGCCGCAGCGACCCCAGTACGGCATGTAGAGTTTTCTATATTAAACTCTTAGAACTCCTCCGAGATCTCCGCAGTGGAGCTATATTTGGCCGGTCTGTATACATCGTCCACGTCATTGAAATGCAAATGCGAGGCCTTCCACACGCCCACATTGTATTTAAAATTGACGGCGATGGACCTGTTGAGGCTGCTGATATAGACACGATCATTCGTGCCGACATTCCCTCGGAGGAGGAGGCTGGGGGTAGACTGCGTGCGTTAGTTCTGAGGCACATGATCCATGGGCCATGTGGTACAGATCATAGGACAGACTTTCCTTGTTGGGACCATCAGAAAGGATCCTGCACAAAATTTTTTCCGAAACCTGCCTGTGAAACCACTCACATCGATGAAAAGGGGTTTGTTCACTACATACGCAATTACGACAATACAGGTATCATAACATCTCGTGGTAGGTCTGTCACTGTTCATGACGGCTGGGTTGTCCCATACAATTCTGCACTGCTTCTAAAATATGAATCTCATATAAATCTAGAGCTAGCTTCGACACGGAAAGTAATGAAATATTTGTTTAAATACCTAATGAAGGGTGGTTCACTGCAAAATGTGACTGTGACACCCTTAAGGAAGCAGGATGATGAAGTAAAGCACTATGTGACAAAGCGCATGGTGGGTGCTAGTGATGCGTGTTGGAGGCTTTTAGATTTTCCGATATCTAAGTCCGAGCCAACAGTTGAATGCCTTCCAGTACACCTTGAGGGGAAGCAGTGTGTCACATTTCGTCCGGACAGTTTGGCTGAGGCGGCTCTACAAGCTACCTCTAATCTGTTACTATACTTCAATAGACCACCTGGCCCTGTGTTTGACAATTTAACTTACCAATCCTTCTTCGAACAATTTATTATCCATTCAAAACGTCCACGTGGTGAAGAGATATATGAACATCCCGACGGTAAACACTACATCACACGTCGACTACGTGGCACCAAGATCTGCCGACTTTATTGGATCTCGCCAAACAGAAGCGAGCTATATTTTCTTCGTCTCCTCTTGATGATCTTACCATGCCGTGGTTACGCCGATTTGTTTGCTCGTGGTGGTGATGGGTGTAACACATTCCAACAGGTAGCGCGGAACCTCGGCTTGGTCGAAGATGAGGATGAGTATGGCATTGCCATCAAGGAAGCTGCTCATTTCATGGTTGGTTCGCAGCTGCGTTCCTTCTTCGTTCTGATATGTAACATGGGAGCACCTGCGGCTCTTTTGTGGGAATCCTTCCGAGACGCGCTTTGTGAGGACCATTTGCATCGCCACCCTGATGATCGTGAGCTCGCCTTCAAACTATCTCTGCTGGAAATTGACCGCAGTCTCCGTCGTCATGGGTCATGTTTGGCCGACCATGGCCTCCCAGTCGTGGAGGACAACACTACAGAGTTGGGCAGGGAGCTACTCATCTACGGCGAGAACCAACAGAAGACAATTGTAGATGAGTGGGAACATAAATTGTCGAGCGATCAAGTTACTGTTTTGAATTACATCCGCTCTTTATTGCATTTTCAAAGAGGTCGAGGGGCAAACAGACTTATTTTCCTGGACGGGCCTGGTGGCTACGGGAAAACGTTATTGATTCGCGTCATTCTTGCCTATGTTCGGAGCCAAAATCAGGTTGCTATTGCTGTTGCTAGCTCTGGTATCGCCTCTGGCAATATGCCGGGAGGTACGACAGCACACAGCATGTTCAGATTACCACTTGACCTCGGCGACGGCACGGGATACTGGAGCTTGACTAACGGATCTCAGCGAGCAGAACTGATCAGAGCCGCACAGCTCATAGTTTTTGATGAGGCACCGATGGCTCATCGCTACATTTTTGAGATTCTCGACAGATCTCTGCGAGACCTCATGAATTCGCCTGAACCATTCGGTAACAAGATCGTCATCTGTTCTGGAGATTTCCGTCAGATCGCTCCCGTTGTTGCCAGAGCACGTACGCCAGCTGATATTGCTTGTGTCTCACTCCGTGCATCGTATCTTTGGCCAAGTTTTAAGCTATTCTCTCTCTCGACACCTCACAGGACCAGTACTTCCACCGCATACTCCGAATTCCTGCTTGGAGTAGGCAATGGAACTATTAGTACTGTTGTATTTGACGAAGACAGGCACAGTTGCAACCTGATTCCATTGCCTGGCGTTAGATATGTAACATCTCTGTCCGACCTTATCCAATTTGTTTTCCCCGATTACGTCCTGAATGACCCTGATCTTACGGCTAGGCGAGCAATACTTTCTACCGTGAACGCTAACGTCCAGAATATTAATGCTGTTGTACGTAATTTAGCAAGTGGCATAGTACACGAATTGAGGAGCGCGGACACAGTTGACAAAGAATCCGATGACGGCATGGAGGTCGATGATCAATTGTTGAACCAGGCCACCAGCAAAGGTGTGCCGGACCATGTCTTGCGACTAAAGATCGGCTCCGTTTGTCTTATCATGAGGAATTTGAATATCGACAGCGGACTTGTAAACGGTACCAAGGTAATAGTTACGGCGATCAGTCCTCGCCTAATTACTGCCAGACTTCCCGGCAAAACTGATCCTATTTGTATTCCGAGGATACAATTTGTTTTTCCGTTTGTCGAGGGGTCGCCGCTTCGCGTCCGCAGACTTCAATTTCCCCTCATGTTGGCCTACTCCATGACTGGCCACAAAAGCCAGGGCCAGACGATTGATCGTGTCGGAGTGGATCTACGTAGTGATTGTTTCACTCATGGCCAATTGTACGTTCTATTGAGTAGGGTCAGACATCCTGACGACATTGCGGTTCTTGTCCGACCTGAAAGAGTTCGCGAAGGAGTAGCTCATACAAAGAACATTGTGTATGGCGAACTCCTTCATTAGTACCAACTTTGACGTTAGCAGTAGGCTAGGGGATCTGCTTTACCAAAACTCCCCGTCGTGATTTGACATCTATGGCAGTACGATAGGGGGTCTGCCTGAAAAAAAGTCCCCGATATTTTGTGTGTTTTGTGTGTTTTTGCGTGTTTGGTGTGTTTTTGTGTGTTTTGTGTGTTTTTATGTGTTTCGTGTTACTGTTTGTGGTTCCGACGTTTCCTGGCCTCCTCGTGGCGGAACTGGATATGCCATTATATATTAGCATCATGGCTAACTGACAGGGAAACAAGTATTTTTATTTATAATTTACTACAATCTTTACAAATATATTTACGATATCCTATTGCTATTATTAAAAAAAATATTGCTAAAATTCTACCAAAAATATAAAATGTTTACTACAATCTGTTTACGCTATACAATGTATGTCTAACTTTTGTTTATATAAATAATTGTATATATGGTTCCGACGTTTCCTGGCCTCCCCGTGGCGGAACTGGATATGCCATACAGTTTGTGGCTAACTGACAGGGAAACAAAAATAGCTTAATCTATTTTCATAAATATATACATGGATATTTACTATTATCTATTTACTTTAAACAATACTTTACTATTATCAACTTATTAACTTATTAATCTACTCTAATATATTCGTGAAATATTTATTACTTTATTATTAACTTTCGATATTACAACCCTAATTACCGTTATATTATCACTTAGTTTGACCAAAAACTCAGTTGAAAAAATACCTTACTATCATATAATCTTACAGCATAAAAAATAGATTTTTGTTATTAAGAAAAAGGGGTTTTGAATTGGATTTCGGGATTGACTTACCAACCTCCTCTCAGGATATTCGACACAGTTGATGACTGACTGATAAAGAAACTAATATGACTTGATCGGATTCCATTACCGCATGTTAAAGTATATAATAGCCTCGGAACAATTACTTTAGACCCTACCACTTTGAATATACCGTACTTTCCATGATTATACAGTAACCGCAATTCTTTTTTGATTATAACTTTTATTGGTTTTAAAGGCAAACCTGCAATCCCTGCTGCCTTATTTTATTCACTTTTTTAGTGAGATAAATTTTACTTCTTTATTATGATGGCACTGTAAACGAATATTTTAACTAATGACGACTAACAGCTAGCTGGATTAGCTGTATACTAATGACGACGAACAGCTAGGGGGCCTGGGGGCGGAGCCCCCAGCGAGCCAAAGGCGAGTCTATATTATATACAACCCGATGTGTAACTGACTCACTGATCAGGTATACAAAATATTGGGCACTTCTAGAGTAGCTAGGGAGCTGAAATTTTTTTTGGAGGTCCGTCTAGGTCCCAAACCACCAGGAAAATCCCAAAAAGCTACATTTTCAAAACGCACCCCCCCAAAAAAATTCCATTAAAAACGCCCATTTTAGCGAAAAACACGTTTTTTTGTAACGACTGTAGCTTGAAAACGGTAAGAGCTAGATTCGATTTGAGGAAAAATCGTGAGTTTGGAATTAAATTTTCTACAAGACACTGTTAAGCGTTTTTCGAAAATCGCACTCCTTCACCTTCAAAAAACGCTCTACTTCCAAAAATTGTAAAAATTCTTGATTTTTTTAAGTGTTTTTAATTTTTAAAACGACTTTTCGCACATATATTTCTACTTTTAATGCTCCCAACGTTGAAAGGAATGTCCCTAGAGTGACCTTCTATAATTTTAACCTACAAAAATAATTCAAAATGGCGGATTTTCAATAAAAAAGATCGATTTTTTAAGGTATTTCTTATGGAGAATTAACATGCAACGACAAGCAAACTAGAAGTAAACGTCAGTAGGTGAAATATGGGCGTTTGGCGACAGAAAAAAACATTTTTGTCACTTCTAGAGTAGCTACGGAGCTGAAATTTTTTCTGAAGGTTTGTCTGGGTACCAAACCACCCAGAAAGTCACAAAATTTAGTTTTTTCCAACCGAAACTCACCAATTGAAATCCCTTAAAACCCTATTTGTTTTTGAAAAAACAGGTTTTTTTTAAACTGCTCTAGCTCGAAAACGGTAAAAGCTAGAAACGATTTGAGGGAAAATCGTAGGTTCAGAATTAAATTTCCACAAGACACTTTTCTCAAAGAAGGGGTCATATCGAAAATCTGACTCCTTCACCTTAAAAAAACGCCTTACTTCCAAAAATTTTTTAAACTCTTGATTTTTTTAATTTTTAAATGACTTTTCGTACATATATTTGTACTTTTTATGGACCCAACGTTGAAAACAAAGTCCCTTGAGTGACCTTCTATAATTTGAACGTACTAAAAAAATTAAAAATGGCGGGTTTTCAATCAAAAAGGTAGTTTTTAACGATTTCTTAACGTATTCCAATCCCATTTCAACCCCCCCCTCTTTCATCCCCATTAAATTTATTTAAATTCATGACAATAGCCAATTTGCAGCCAAAAGGTGAGTGAGCGTAGCGAACGAGCTAACCTGAAGGCAAGTGAGCGCAGCGAACGAGCTCCAACCTAAAAGTGAGTGAGCGTAGCGAACGAACTAACCTGAAGGCAAGTGAGCGCAGCGAACAAGCTAACCTGATGGCAAGTGAGCGCAGCGAACGAGCTCCAACCTACAGGTGAGTGAGCGTAGCGAACAAACTTCAACCAGGATATGATTGAGCCATGCGTTTAGTTAATTTTTTTCCCATCTCCACCCCAAATTCGTGTTTAAACCTGAAATTTTACCTTTTTTTCCCTATTTTTGGTGATTTTTACTGCGCAAGGGGTCCATTCTTCATGTCGATAAATTTTACCAACCCTCCGCCTCCAAAGGGGGCCTAAGATTATTTAAAAATATTATTTTACCTCACTCTAACTCCTAAGACTTTATATCGATGCTTATTGATGTGAAGAAAGATTTTGAGGTTGTGACTAGGTAAATCTGTGACTTGCGCCATGGGCCATTTTTTATTTACCCCCAACCAAAAAAGGGGGCCTGGGGGCGGAGCCCCCAGCGAGCACAAGGCGAGTCTATATTATATACAGCCCCTTGTGTAACTGACTCACTCATTGACTCATCAGGTATACAAATTCTTACCCACTTCTAGAATAGCTACGGGGTTGAAATTTGGCACGAATTTAGGTATTGGTCTTAAAGCACCAGTAAAATTGTCAAAAGTTACATTTTCGAATTTTAACCCCCCTAAAAAAAATCAAAATGGCGGATTTTTGAACAGTGCGAAAAAGGCGTTTTTTTAAAACGTTTATTGTGCTTAAACCGTTGGTCTAATCAAAAAACGGAGCACACTTACAGTATTTAGAATTAAACGAGCTACAATCTGATAATATAAAGTTTCTTTCTATCTCCACCCCTTCCCCCCTATATTTCGCTCTAAACACAAAATTTTGGAATTTTTCATCATGTTTTTTTGTTCAAACGTCCGTTGCGGCTCAACCGTTGGTCTGATAAAAAACAGAGAGAACCTTTCCGTACTAACTTTTGACGATCTACAACTTTGTAATTTAACATTTTTTTCCATCAACACTCCTTCACCCCCAAATTCATGCTTAAACTTGAAATTTTGCCATTTTTCCTTGTTTTTTGGGGGGTTGGCTGCCCTGGAGTAGGTTAAAATCCGTTTTGGGTACGTTTGACCTATTACTTGTTTTTAAATATGCCTAAAGTTCATCCTAAACCGATTTCGGAATTTTCACTCACCCTACTTATCCCTCAAAATTGGGGGGATAATTTTAGTTAAAATAAAAAATACCGATTTTGAAGATTCTCGTCAATTAAAAATTATATAAACGCAAGATTATATATAAACAAACAAATGTTTTGTATACAAAATTTTATGGTGTACATTTTGTTCCATAGCGCCTTTCACCTATCTATACTCCATCCCCCTCAAAAAAACCCATTTCGATAGTTGTGTCCTTGGAACTACACACTCATATTATTAGCACTATTATTTTTTTACATTTATGACAATAGCTAATTTGCAACCAAAAGGTGAGTGAGCGTAGCGAACGAGCTAACCTGAAGGCAAGTGAGCGCAGCGAACGAGCTCCAACCTAAAAGTGAGTGAGCGTTGCGAACGAGCTAACCTGAAGGCAAGTGAGCGCAGCGAACGAGCTCCAACCTAAAGGTGAGTGAGCGTAGCGAACGAGCTAACTTGAAGGTGAGTGAGCGTAGCGAACGAGCTAACCTGAAGGCAAGTGAGCGCAGCGAACGAGCTCCAACCTAAAGGTGAGTGAGCGTAGCGAACGAGCTAACCTGAAGGCAAGTGAGCGCAGCGAACGAGCTCCAACCTAAAGGTTAGTGAGCGTAGCGAACGAACTTCAACCAGGATTTGATTGAGCCATGCGTTTAGTTTAATTTGTTTCCCATCTCCACCCCAAATTCGTGTTTAAACCTGAAATTATACCTTATTTTCCCTATTTTTGGGGATTTTTACTGTGCAAGGGGTCCATTCTTCATGCCGATAATTTCTACTAACCCCCCGCCACCGAAGGGGGCCTAAGATATTTTTAAAATATTATTTTACCTCACTCTAACTCCTAATACTTTATATCGATGCTTATTGATGTGAAGAAAGTTTTAGAGGTTGTGACTTAGCAAATTTAATTTATCGTAGCAACGGCCCTACATCGAGACTCTAACATGTCAAGACTGGTTAGGTCTGCACTACTAAGGAATACTTCGCAACTGCCAAGTTATCACTACGTCTTTTAAGCAAAAATGTTTCCGGACAACATCCTGTCCCCCGTGACAATTTCTCATCACGGCTACTATTAAAAGGGGGCCTGGGGGCGGAGCCCCCAGCGAGCACAAGGCGAGTCTATATTATATACAGTCTAAATACTATACAGCCGCATGTGTAACTAAGGGATACAAATTCTAGACCACTTCTAGATGAGCTAGAGACTTGAAATTTTCGGCGTTTTGTAAGTCTAGTGCCCAAACCCCCGGGAAAAATCCGAAAAGTCGCATTTTCTAAATTTAACC